GAGAGCTCCGAGACGGGTGTCCGAGGCCCTGGCATCCCTGTCGCCCATCTTTCCGACACGGGTTGACTGTCTGGTCCATGGCTCGAGTGGGGCATCGACTACAGAATTGACTTACCCCTAAATTGAGTCTCCAGACGAGCTTTCGAAACGAGTACGTAGAACGGTCGTGGGCACACGCGTCCTCTTTTGACGTGCTCCCGCAGCCTCGGGGCGCACACACCGACGCTGTGCGGGGTGAGCCACTCCTGTGGCCGCTCCCCTGGATTCGCACGGCCCAAGACACCACCACCTGGTCGACACTCGAACGGCAATACGCACACCCCACGTAACGACACTACGCCGACATCCACATCCAGGACTTCCCTCCTCCCCTCCTCCGCCGCAGATTTGTTTTTATTGTCTCGCTGTTCATATGCATGATCGCGTGTAGTCCATACGTAAAGGTTTGAAGAGGCTACGGCCTCCTCCACCAGGTCTCGAGCAGGCCCGGACAGCTGTCCGCAGTGGTGGTTCGTTCGTTCGTTCCCCTCCTCGAGTGGCACCTCCTCCCCGCCCGACCCGAAACTCGCGGCGGCGACGGGCGTGGTGGCCGCTCTGTGGGCGGCCTGGGCGGCCGAGCCGCCGGCGCCGCCTGGCCCGGCCGGGTGCGCCGGCGGCGGCGCGTGCGGGGGCGCGGCGCGGGTGCTCTGCCACCCGGGGCCGTGGGCGCTCTGCGTCGGGGGGCGCGCGGCCTGCCGTGGAGGTCGGGCGTGTCCCTCGGCAGGAGGAGTATCCAAAGGTAGCAAAACGAAATGTCAGGGGGCAGACACATATATATACTATATAATATGATTATGTATATATATATATATACATATATATACATATAATACTATATACAACTATGTTTGATTATTTGTGGATTGGATCTTTCTTGGGTGCTTTTTTTTCCTCCCAAATCCGCCTGCAGGGGGACACGCCCGACCTAAGCCTCCCGATAAGTCGGGCGCGTCCCTCTACAGGAGGAATATTGAAAACAGTAGTGAGAAATAATCTGAGGACGATTTGTTCTCATATTTTGTTCGTTATTTTCTGGGGGCTTCGTTCAGAAGCAAGCCATAGGATCCTGGTAGACCCTCCGAAGTCCGTCTTTGGCGTCGACTCGCGTCGATAAGCGTCTGGGAGTCGATGGGATAGCGCCGATTCAGTGTCGGTTAGCGTCGGCTAGCGTCGATTAGCGTCGACTCGCAAGAGCCGACAAACGGGTATGGGAGGCTCCCATGAGTTGCCACCGAAGCTTCGGCCTACCGTGGAGCTGGCTGGCAGCCATGAGGCGGCCCGGCATAGGTTCCCGCGAGGTTCGAGAAGATAGTTATTTGCCTTTTTCTGCCTCTGTGCTCCGTTTCCTGGCCCCTGGACCGTCCAAAACGGACCTGGGATGGAACATTGCACCAGATGGACCCAGAAAGGGATCCCGGATGCGGCTTTTAGCGGATTTGTCTATCTCGGCGGTCTTCAGCAGGCCTTCTCAGATGGCCTTCTCAGATGGCGGCGGGGCCTCTCAGAAGCCCTCGCGCCTTCTGCGGAGTTCTGTTACCTAACAGCGAAGACTGACAGGTTTCTAGTAGTGTCAAAAGAGAGCATCATGACTCCCGAGGGGTGAATGGGCGGCATCCGGACAGGGATCCGCGGAAGTCGTTTTAAGCAAACAGTTACACACTTCGTGGTCTTCGAGGTCCCAGAACTCCATTCCCGGGCCACATTCTGAATGCCCGGAGCCAATTGTAGGCCATTTCGTTTTCGTCGAGTTCTCAGAATTCCATTCCTGGGCATGATTTTGAATGCCCGGAGCCAACTGTAGGCCACTTCGTGGTCTTCGAGTTCCCAGAACTCCATTCCTGGGCATGATTTTGAATGCCCGGAGTCAACTGTAAGCCACCTCGTGGTCTTCGAGTTCCCAGAACTCCATTCCTGGGCATGATTTTGAATGCCACGAGCCAACTGTGGGCCACTTCGTGTTCTTCGAGTTCCCAGAACTCAATTCCCGGGGCACATTTTGAATGCTGCGGCAGGCTGATGCTGAGGCTGAGGCAGGCTGAGGCTGAGGCAGGCTGAGGCTGAGGCGGAGGCTGAAGGCAGACTGAGGCTGAGGCTGAAGCAGGCTGAGGCTGAGGCTGAGGCAGGCTGAGGCTGAGGCTGAGGCAGGCTGATGCTGAGGCAGGCTGAGGCTGAGGCTGAGGCTGAAGCACGCTGAGGCTGAGGCAGGCTGAGCTGAGGCTGAGGCCGAGGAACTGAAGGCAGACGGAGGCTGAGGCTGAAGCAGCAGAGCTGATGCTGAGGCTGAGGCAGGCTGAGGCTGAGGCTGAGGCTCGGCTGATGATGAGGCAGGCTTAGACAGAGCTGAGGCTGAGGCAGGCTGAGGCTGAGGCAGGCTGAGGCTGAGGCGGAGGCTGAAGGCAGACTGAGGCTGAGGCTGAAGCAGGCTGAGGCTGAGGCTGAGGCAGGCTGAGGCTGAGGCTGAGGCAGGCTGATGCTGAGGCAGGCTGAGGCTGAGGCTGAGGCTGAAGCACGCTGAGGCTGAGGCAGGCTGAGGCTGAGGCTGAGGCCGAGGCTGAAGGCAGACGGAGGCTGAGGCTGAAGCAGGCTGAGGCTGAGGCTGAGGCTGAGGCAGGCTGAGGCTGAGGCTGAGGCAGGCTGATGCTGAGGCAGGCTGAGACTGAGGCTGAGGCTGATGCAGGCTGAGGCTGAGGCAGGCTGAGGCTGAGGCGGAGGCTGAAGGCAGACTGAGGCTGAGGCTGAAGCAGGCCGAGGCTTGATGCAGGCTGAGGCTTGAGGCAGGCAGATTGCTGAGGCAGGCTGAGGCTGAGCTGGGCTGGCTGGGCTCATGCAGGCTGAGCTGAGCAGCGGAGGCTAGACGAGGCTGAAGGCAGACCGATGCCGAGGCTGAAGGCAGGCTGAGGCTGAGGCTGATGCAGGCTGAAGGCCTGAGGCTGAGGCAGGCTTGCTGAGGCGGCGCTTGAGCGAGGCTGAGGCTGAGGCTGATGCAGGCATGAGGCTGAGGCAGGCTTGAGGCTGAGGCCGAGAGGCTGAAGGCAACTGAGGCTGAGCGAGGCAAGTCTTGAGGCTAAGAGGCTGAGGTCTTGATGCTGAGTCAAGGCTGAGGCTGGGCTGAGTCGGCTGAGGCTGAGGCTGAGGCTGAGCTGAGGCTGAGGCAGCTGAGGCTGTGGCGAGCTGAAGCTGAGCAGCTGAGGCTGAGGCGAGGCCGACGGCAGACTGAGGCTGAGGCTGAAGCAGGCTGAGGCTGAGGCAGAGGCAGGCTGAGGCTGAGGCTGAGGCAGGCTGATGCTGAGGCAGGCTAAGGCTGAGGCTGAGGCAGGCTGAGGCTGAGGCAGGCTGAGGCCGAGGCCGAGGCCGACGGCAGACTGAGGCTGAGGCTGAAGCAGGCTGAGGCTGAGGCTGAAGCAGGCTGAGGCTGAGGCAGAGGCAGGCTGAGGCTGATGCAGGCTGAGGCTGATGCTGAGGCTGATGCAGGCTGAGGCTGAGGCAGGCTGAGGCTGAGGCCGAGGCTGAAGGCAGACTGAAGCCGAGGCTGAAGGCAGGCTGAGGCTGAGGCTGAGGCAGTCTGATGCTGAGGCTGAGGCTGAAGCAGGCTGATGCTGAGGCAGGCTGAAGCTGAGGCTGAGGCTGATGCAGGCTGAGGCTGAGGCAGGCTGAGGCTGAGGCCGAGGCCGACGGCAGGCTGAGGCTGAGGCTGAGGCAGGCTGAGGCTGAGGCTGAGGCAGGCTGAGGCTGAGGCTGTGACTGCGACTGCCGTTGCCACTGCGACTGTCATCGCGAATGCGACTACGTCTGCCAGAACAGCAGAATTCTACAACTGGATTCTCATCTGAATCTTAAGGGGAATGCTTCCAGATATGCTCCTACACATCGCTGTTAGGTTGCTTTGCCGGGATAATTTGTCTTCGGGGAAGGCTGAGAAAACCTTTCTGAAGGCTGGAGGCTGGCTGCCCCACGGGGCGGAGCGACACGCTATCCGCTTGTAGGGCATGGCGTGTCGCCGGGGCCGCCGCCGTGGCACGCTGTCCAAAAGTTCCTGACCGTGGGCTTCGCGGGGAATGTATCGGCCTCCCAGTCGCCCATCGATCGCCGACTGGGGGCCCGATCGCCGATAGCCCACCCCGCTCGCTCCGGACCGTGTGGATTCGCTCTCGGGGACCCATCGCCGATTTGTCGGCGATTTGTCGCCGATTCCAGCTCGGTGTTCCCTACCCCTGAGCTGGTCCCTCCCGATCGCCAGATTGGCCCTCGGTGCGGGCTGACAGGGGGGGCCCCAGCAGCGGCTCGCGCGCCTGGGTTTGGGCCCTTCGCGGCCCCCTGAAGCCACGCACCCACGGTCACTCTTGCCTAGGTGCGGCTGATCTCGTTGCCCCTCATCGGAAGATGGAACATATACATCACCTGTGGCGGCCCGCTTTTCAATCCCAGGACTTTTTGAGGGTCGGGGGCAACGCCGGCGCGGGGGCCCCGTGGCGGGCGTCGTGCCTCGGGCAGTGGCGGCGCGCCCTGGCCCGCCGACAGAGGCCCACCAGAGAAGGCTCTGAGAGAATGCTGTGGTCTGCACAGGATGTTTTGTCGAGCCTTTCGGGCTGGGACTGCCTTTTTTTAGCACCGCGGGCCTGTGTTGTAAGAACACTGCTGCGCTCTTAGAATATGTTTGGGATTTGATGAGGGCACTTCTTGATAGGCGCATAGGAATGCCAGGCTCAACGAAAGGGGCAGGTCCCTGCCCAAGGAAGGGGCAGGTTGACGTCCCCCGACCTTCTGGGCCCACGCGGTGTTCAACTACGCCAACTACTTCCTGAACGCGTGGCTCCCGACCATGTTCGTGGAGAGGTTCGAGGGGACGACCGCCGCCATCCGGGGAAGAACAGGAGCAAACACGTCACCTCTCGGAGGTCCGCGCTGACTTCTTGGGTCGGCGCTGGACCCCCCTCCCTGGCGCGCGGAGCGCGCGATGGGGGCGTCGGAGGCGCTGCCGGGGGGGCCCAGCGCCGATCCAAGGAATCCGCATGGAGGTGCGAAAGTCGATGTCTGCGCCGACAGTTCATCTCCGAGCCATGGCTGGCGCGTACCTCATGTTGCCCGAGGTGGTTGGCATCGCCTCCAGGTTCGCCTCCGCCTCCCTGACGGACCGCCTGCTCCTGCAGGAGGGCCGCGTGTCGTTGCTCAGGGTCAGACGGGCGTCGTCGAGCCTGGCCTTTGTTGGCCAGGGCGTGGCCATGCTGACGGCCGTGCACCAGACACAGCTCGGGCCGGGCGAGAGGAGGGGATCGGTGAAGGGGGTGGTTGCGACGTGTGTTGCGTGGGCCCCGCCGCCAGGCGCCTTCCTCGGGGCACCTCCGGCGCCGGGAGGCGCCGGGAGAGCCAGCTGCGTGAGCTGAGTCACGAGCCCACCCTTCTCGCTGTCCCCCCCTCCCCTTTGTCCGACCCGGACAGCCCTCGGCGTGCGTGTTTGCGCTGACGCTTGCGGCGGCGTCGCAGGGCGTGCACAGCTGCGGCTTCAAGGCAAACTACCTGGACCTGACGAGTGCTCACAGCGGTGCTCTTGCAGGGATCGGCAACACGTTTGCGTCCATCGCGTCCGCGGCAGGTCCGGTGATCACATCGGCAGCCCTCGCGCGTGCCCCCGGGGATTGGGAGAGTTTATTCGGTGGTCTGTTCATGCTGAACGTCTCTGGCGCCGCTGTCGTGCTCCTGTGGCTGTGCGTTGAGAACCTCGACACCCGTCGTAAACCCAGCGAGGACGGCAAGGACGCTACGTCTGTCGTTTGGAGTTTCTCAAGCTTGTTTGGCTTCAGCTTGAGCAGAAGTTCACCGTAG